GAGAGTGCTGTCCAGAGCGGTCACAATGAAGCACTGTGGGATAGCTCCCCGGAGGCCAATAACGTTGAATTCCGTCCACACTACCCCAATTCCGACCCGCAAATGCCGATTTTATCGCTAATCCCCTCATCGAAGGTGGTGTAAAGAAACCGGTTTAAAGGGCCCTTTAAGTCGAAAGAAAGGGCTTCGTCGTGTGAACGTGTCCAGGCTTAATTCGATTTAACGCTGCTAAAGTCGACCTAAACCCGTAGTGTAGAGCAGGCCTCAGGCCTTGGCTACACTCTGGACTTCCCAGCGCTGCCGCGGCAGCGCTGTGAAGCGCAAGTGTAGTCGCACCACCAGCGCTGCGAGAGCTCTCCCGCAGCGCTGTATGTACTCCACCTCTCCGAGGGGAATAGCTTGCAGCGCTGTGAGCAAGCGTGCAGCGCTGCAGGCTCTGATTACACTGGCGCTTTACAGTGCTGTACTCGCTGCGCTCGGGGAGGGGTGCGTTTTCACACCCCTGAGCGCAGCAAGTTGCAGTGCTGTACAGCGCCAGTGTAGCCAAGGCCTCAGTGATTTAAGCATGAATTGGATTGACAGTGAAACTTACAAGGGTAATTGGCTGAACAGCTATGGCTCTTAACAAGCATCTTAATTGTCAATTAGCCTGTTATTGGGGTAACCGGTTTTATGAATGAATGTTGTTTCATTCATAAAACTTTACTTATGAAGTTACATTAATAAAGTGAACAATTAAAAACAATTTCATTTATCAGTTTTACACTATCAGATGAGGCGCAGTGGTAGGGCTTTCAGACAGGGTGCTGAGGCATGGGGCAGGGTGACAGGGCTATCAAACGGGTCGCTGAGGGAGGGGCGGGGCCGCAGGGCTCTCAGACTGGGCGCTGAGACAGGGGCGGGGCGGCAGGGCTGTCAGACGGGGCACTGAGGGAGGGGAGGCGGCAGGGTTCTCAGACAGGGGCGCTGAGGGGACGCGGGGCGGCAGGGCTGTCAGACGGGGCGCTGAGGGAGGGGAGGCGCGGGGCGGCAGGACTATCAGACAGAGGCGCTGGGGGAGGGGCCGGGCCGCAGGGCTGTCAGACGCAGGCGCTGAGGGAGGGGCGGCTGATAAGTCATAGGAGGACGGGCGAGTTGGGTCTACGCGCTCTGCGCCTGCCGGGAAGGGGACGGCGAGGCCCCGGATGGAGCCAAGATGGTGGCACTGGCGGTGTCTGTGCTGTCGGCCTTGAAGCGGCTCTGTAGCGTCGCGCTCTTTGTTTCTCAGCTCTACGTGCTCTCGGGCCGCGGTGAGTGCGGTCAACCCGCCCTCCTCGGGGCTCGTCTGCCACCCGCCGCCTAAGGGCCTGGCAAGGCGGCTCCCCGCTACCCTCCGTGCACACTCCCGCCGGCTTTGCCCTCCCCGGTCGTAGTCTGGTAGGAGAGGCCATTGCGTCCGCGCCGGCGTCCCGTGCGCCCATCCCACTGCCCTGGTGTCCTCATGCAGCCGCCCGTGCTGTCCGAGCTCGGGCTGACGGTGCCCGTAGGACTTGGCCCAGCCTGAGCCCAGGGCCCTGCCTGCTCTGTGATAACATGACCCCGGCCTATGGACCCGCTTGCCATAAACCAGGGTTCCTTTTTCTCCGTGCTGCTGCGCTGTGTGCCGGTGGTCTGCCTGCCTCTTTTGGGGAGGTGGCTGCATTGTGGGAGTGTAATTAATTAGCAATATAAACAACAAATGTCAGTGATATAAAGAAATAATTTTGTACAGTGTATAATTCATCTGTGGAACTCATTGCCACAGGAATCTTGCTGTGGCCAAGAGTTAAGGACTCAAGAAAGAATTAGACTTTTATGGGATTAATGAGAATTTTCAACAAACGGGTAGATTAAAATGACTTTTAGATAGTGCTGTTTAGACGGATTCCTTGTCTTGAAAAGTGTTAACATGTTGTTTATAAGGTATTTTGGGTTTCTCAACACAGGCCACATGTTTATTTTCCCATCCTGGTGTGCACCACATAACCTGTGTGATCATGCATTATGGGTATAATTTGTGTTTTTTCAAATAGTTATGAACGTGATTAGTCCCACCAAGTCAATCGAATTACTTATATGAGCAGAGTAGAATATTTAGTAAGTGTTTGCAGAATTGGGGCAATAGTCTCCAGCGAATTCTGTGGTGCAGTTTTCCTACTAAAATGGCGAGTGTGTTACTTGATGTTTAATTATTTTTATTCTGTAATAGACAGTATACGGTAATATTTGCATTCCAAATAGTGTAGCTTCCTACTAAGTCACAAGAATTTAAGAGCGAAACTGATTAAAATGGATTTTTATTGTCTTAAATGGAGTAAAGTGCAAAATCCTAATGAATAAAGTAGGGAAATCTGTGGAGCTTTTTAAATATTAATTTTATCCCAGAGATGACCCTTGATGTCAAGAATGCAGCGTGATGTTTTATATTAGAGTGCTGGGATTAAACAGTGTTTGAAGACCAGTTAAATTCTAGGATTATTATATCCTCTTAACAGTAACGGAAGTGCATTGAATCTGTTAATTTTTCTTATAGCAGGTTCCTTGATGACAACAGAGCACTCGAAACAACAGTTTGTCTCTACAAAAGGTGTAACATCTCCAAGTACAAATACTCCATATACTAGAGCAACAGGTACCAGTGTCTGTTCTTCTACAAAAGCTCCTAAGAAAACAATAGATTTATAGATTCCAAGGCCCAAAAGGACACTTGTGATAATCAGAGGGGTAGCCATGTTAGTCTGAATCTGTAAAAAGCAACAGAGGGTCCTGTGGCACCTTTAAGACTAACAGAAGTATTGGGAGCATAAGCTTTTGTGGGTAAGAACCTCACTTCTTCAGATGCAAGGGTTAGGGTTGCATCTGAAGAAGTGAGGTTCTTACCCACGAAAGCTCATGCTCCCAATACTTCTGTTAGTCTTAAAGGTGCCACAAGACCCTCTGTTACTTGTGATAATGTAGTCTGACCTCCTATATATCACAGGCCATAGAATTTCCCAAAATAATGCATGCAGCATATCTTTTAGAAAAACATAGTCTTGAATTTTGATTCAAAATAGTTAGTGTTAGAGAATCCACCACAACCCTTGGTAAACTGTTCCAATGATATCCATACAAGCCTTTTCCCTAATAGTCCTGAGTTTAATAGTAAAATTCTTGAATGAGGTATTAGAAAACTAACTGTACAGAGTATTTAATCATTAAAAGATACACTGCCCCCTGTGGATATGTCTACATTGCAGTTAGATATCCACAGCTGGGCAGCACCAGCTGACTTGGGCTTGTGCGGCTCGGGCTAAAGAGCTTTTTAATTGTGGTGTAGAAGCTGGGACTCAGGGTCCAGCCCAAACTCTGGGACCCTCCACCTCGTGGGGTCCTAGAAGCCCAAAACCAGCGTCTACACCACTGTTAAACAGCCCCTTAGCCTGATCGCCCCGAGCCTGAGTCAGGCAGCACAGGCCAGACATGAGTTTTGATCACAGTGTAGACATACCCTGAGGCACCATGAATTATTTTCCAAAAGCCTATAACTGCTAGTTAGGGTTGTGTAAATGAAAAACCCATCCATGCAAACCCCACACGATAATTTAAGGAAACCTACATTCACAGACTTGACACCTGCATGTCACATTAGCCATATTTCTATCCAAATGCAGATTAGCACAAAGCATGAGTAAAAATTAATCTAGTAAATAAGAGATGCGTCATTCATACGTTTACAAGTAAAAAAGTAAATTAAGAATCTGAAAACATTAAGCTATAAAATTGCTTAAATGTGTATAGACATAGTGTATCCTCCTGATAAGCAAAGAGAAGTTTGTGTAGTGTAAAGGCTATATTAAGGCCGTGGCTACACTCGAAACTTCAAAGTGCTGCCACGGGAGCGCTCCCGTGGCAGCGCTTTGAAGTGCAAGTGTGGTCGCATGCCAGCGCTGCAGGTACTCCACCTCCACGAGGGGATTACACTGGCACTTTACAGCGCTGTAACTTGCTGCGCTCAGGGGTGTGTTTTTTCACACCCCTGAGCGAGAAAGTTGCAGCGCTGTAAAGCGCCGGTGTAGCCATAGCCTAAGATGCAAATCAGCATGTTTTAATGGTTAGCTACCAATGAGAATAAACCTTCATTTAGGAAAACAGCTAAAGGACGCATGCAAAACAAGATTAACATTGATTTAAATCTTGATTAAAATCAGGTATTTTAATTGCTTCATTGTGCTTCCATAAGAATCCGCCTCCACCTCACACACAATTCAAATGTAGGTAATTCATTGTTATGCAAAACTTCAACTCTACTCTCCACAGTATTTACATACTTACCCAGTGCACATTTGTGAATAGTAAGTGTGTGATGACTTAGGAGTTTTGTGGAGAAAGTATTAGGTTAGAATTAAGTTTTCTGGACGTGAGTTGGAAATGAGTTCCTTGGGGATGGGCGGAATAGGTCAGTGAGTGGCTAATGTGATGTGTGGATGTTGGCATTTGTGAAATAAATAAAAGATACATGACTCCTTGAATGCTACATGCAGTTCTGGTTGCCCCATCTCAAAAAAGATATTACAATTGCAGTTGGAAGAGGTGCAGAGAAGGGCAACAAAAATGATTAAGGGTATGGAACAGCTTCAATATAAAAAGAGATTTTTAAAAGACTGTGGCTTCTAAGCTGAACAAAGAGATGACTGAGTGGGATATGACAAAGGTCTATAAAATCATGAATGGTGTGGAGAAAGTGAATAGGGAAGTGTTATTTACCCCTTCACATAACACAAGAACCAGGGACCGCCCAATGAAATTAATAGGCATCCATGTTTAAAACAAATATAAGAATATTTCACACAATCTACAGTCATCCTGTGGCATTCATTGCCATGGTATGTTGTGAAGGCCAAAAGTATAGCTAGATTCAAAAAACAATTAGGTAAGTTCATGGAGGATAGGTCCGTGAATGGCTATTTCTCATGCACTATGTGTATCTAAACCTCTGACTGCCAGAACCTGGCCTTGGATGACTGGATGGATCACTTGATGATTGCCCTGTTCTGTTGATTCCCTCTGAAGCATCTGGCACTGGCTGCTGTTGGAAGACAGGAAACTGGGTTAGATGGACCATTGGTCTGACTCAGCATGGCCATTCTTATATTTACACATTCTTAAGATCCCCTTAACTCAAATAACTTTTGTTAGCACCTAAAGACCCCAACTGACATCAGCCCCATTGCACAAACGTAGTAAGACAGTTCTGCCTCAGAAGGCTTACATTCTAAACAGACAAGAACAGATAAATGGTGGGAGATAAGACACGTGCAGATATGGTTAGAGTGACTTGGCCAGGGTCACACAGCAGGTCCATAGCAGAGCCAGGTAGAGAACCAAGGTCTCTTACTGATCATTTTTCTGCTTTTATGGGTTTGCATGGGTAGTGCCCTTGGGGAGGCTTGGGTGAAGAATAAATTGGTGGACGGGAGAGCACAGTGGGAGGTCCCAGCCAGTGAACTATAAATTTAATGTAAAATATGCTACTGTTAATAACTGGCATTTATGACTCTAGTATAAGAAGCAGAAGTCGTGTTAAAAAGTTATGTCATTTTGACACTTGTAGCTTGAGTGTTTATGAAAGAGAGTAAAAGTGTCCAAACTGACTAGTAATTTAACAGTAATAAAAACAGTTGTTCAGAGTTCAGTGCCTTTACTGTTATGATGTCAGATAACCAGGCTCAATCAGTTTATTAATCAAGATAGATAAGCACGATACAGAGAGTTTAATATACTACCAATATGGGGAACAGTATTACAGTGTTTACATCTTTCGTCTGTTCAAAAATATTAGCTCAATTCTGCTTCTGTTTATATTCTTCTTGTGGAATCTTCGATCTGTTGTAAACAAATTCTAGAGCATTACCAAAGACTGTACACCCTTCCTCTATTTAGTACTGTATATATTTTATAGAGGACAAAGACCTCTTTACCAGCCATACCTAGCACACTGGTCATTATTGGAGAGACTCAACAGAATATCCATCTTATTCTGACAGATGATACACATGCACAGGAAAGAGAGGTTACAGCAGTTTAATGCCAAGTAAATTTCCACAAGAAATCTATTATCAATACAAAGCATTCTGAGAGTACATTTTATAGTTATACAACTTAGCATGACTATACAGCATTCTGAAAATATGATATTGGCTAATAGAACTCTGTAAATATGTTTGAGATCCTATTAATGTTTAAACACTTTGAGGTCTTTGGATAGATATATTGATTCAATTTTCATCATGGCAAAAAGTTAAGGTAGCAGTACAGAACCTTGTGTCACTCCACTAAGGCTAGTGGTGGTTAATGTATTAATCTCAAAAAGGGCTGAGATGTCAGAACTTTACAGACAGCACAAAATTATTTAGGTAGGTCAAAACCAGAGAAGACCATGAAGAATATTAAATGAAGCTAAGTGAATGAAGAACACACTGGATGATGAAATTGTTTTGTGAACACTGGAGGGAAAATTTTAAACTACTCAGACACCTTCTAATTACTTGTTCTAAATTATCTCTGTTAACTGGAGATGGGGGAGAAAGACCTGGATGTCATTTTGGACAGCTCACTGCTCATCAGCAGTCATAAAAGCAAACAGTGTTGTTATCCATCCTGTTCCTTAAGCATTCTAATATGGAAAATACTATCCCCATTATATAAATCAGTAACGTAACCTGTAATACTGTATTCAGTTCTGGTTACCCCGTCTCAAAAAGGGTAAGTAGAAACTACAGGGACATGTATTTTCTATTTCTCATGATATAAGCCCTTTGCTATTTAATATTTTTATTAATGTGAAATAAAACAAAGTCACTACTGATAGTTTTCAAATGACAGATTGGGTGAGTGGTAAATAATGAAGAGGACAGGTCACTGATATAGAGCAATCTGGATCACTTGGTAAGCTGTCAAATGTAAAATTGTTCGTGTAGGAACCAAAAATGTAGGCCATACTTACGTGATGGAGGACTTTATCCTGGGAAGTAGTGACTCTGAAAAGGACTTGAGGGTCCAGGTGAATAATCAGCTGAGTGTAAGCTCCCAAGGCAATGCTGTGGCCAAAATTGTCTTTTATGATCCTTGGAGGCATAAACAGGAATCTCAAGTAGTAGGGAGTAGGGTTAGTGCTATCTCTGTATTGAGATTAATATGACCGCTACTGGAATAGTGTGTCCTGTTCTGGTGTCTACAATTTAAGAGGGTTGTTGATAAATTGGAGAGGGTTCAGAGAAGAGCCACGAGAACAATTAAAGGAGTGGAAAACTTGCCATACAGCTCAAATAGTTCAATCTATTTAGCTTAACAAAGAAGGTTAAGGGATGACTTGATTACAGTCTGTAAGTGCTATGTGGGGGACAAATATTTGCTAATGGGCTCTTCAGTCTAGCAGACAAAGGTATAACAAGATCTAATGGCTAGAAGTTGAAACTAGACACATTCAGACTTTAAATAAGGTGCATATTATTTTAACAATGAGGGCAATTAATAATTGAAACAACTTACCAAGGTTTGTGGTGGCTTCTCTATCACTGGCAATTTTTAAATCAAGATTGCATGTTTTTCGAAAAGAGATGCTGTAGTTGAAACAGGAATTAATTCAAGAACGTTCTATGGGCTGTGTTATGCAGACTAGAGGATCACGGTGATCCCTTCTGGTCTTAGGAACTATTCATCTAAAACAAAAGGACATTCAGTTAAATTGAATGGTGGCAAATTCATAACTTTATGGAAAGTGGAATATTTTTGTGTAGTGCATAATTAGACAGGATTTTATTGTACAAGATATTACCGAGGCTTAAAGCATAGCCTGATTGGAAGAAAAAAAAGAGAGAGAGAGAGAAAAGGATTCCATGTTTATATGGATAATAAGCATCCAAAGTTAGAACTGTAAAATATTTAAATGGCTTTGGAAGGAATATAAACCTTCAAGCTTCAGGTTATAAACTGACCTTTGATCTTCTTAGGGTATGAAGAAATTTTCCCTGGGACAGATTTTCCCATACATTTTACTGGAGGGCAGGGGTCAGATTTGGCTCTGTGGTACCCATACCTCTGAGCTGGGAGGTATGGGTAAGGAGAGTGTTGGGATGTGTCGGTGCTTTTCCCACTGCTGAAAACACCCACCAATTAATTTTGGTGCTCCCCACAACATAGACCACTTCATTCTGCCCTTCCCCCAACTGATTTAGACTCTCATATTTCACACAGAACTGATGCAGACGGTGGTGGGAGGGGGAAGACTGGCGTCAGGATCTTGATCCATTTCCCAGGTTTGGAGGTGACAAATATGAGGGGGAAGAATCTTCACTCTCTGCAGGAGGTCACAGGAGCTGATGCTCTCCAATCTGTGCTTGTGTGCTCCAGCCCTGTGCTTTCAGGAGGGAGTAGTGGCTGATAGACCGGGTGTCTCAGAAGGTGGAGCTGATGGCATGTTGGGACAAGGTAGCAATGGACTTATAAATGCTGTTATATGGTGTATGGCCAATGCTGGCTGCTGCTGACCTCTGCTGCAGGGTTCTTCCTTTGGAAGCAGCTGATACTGGTTACTGTTAGAGGCAGAATGCCTTAATAGATGAGATACTGGTTTGTTTGCTGTAAGTGGAGAGTACTTTATTATGAAATTATTTAAAGTAACATACAGTAGACGTGTATGCCTATACTGTAGTGTAGGTAATGCTGAAGCTCTTATTCTTAACAAATCCTTTCACCCTTCAGAGACTACGGAGATTCCATCTTATGTGAGTAAGTGTCCCAGCAATGGGCTGTGCAGCAAATTGCCTCCAGACTGCATGACATGTAAAACAAACTTCTCCTGCGTATATGGGAAGCCAGCCACTTTTGATTGCAAGATTAAGCCACAAATTCATTGTGTTGTAAGTAATTAACCTATTTCTTTGTAGTTGGAATTTGTCACTTGTTAAAGGTACAGTATAGTTTAAATTATGTCCTAAAACTCATAAATATGTTACAAAACAAATTTCTAGGCATAAATACAGTTACAAGCAAGTATAATTATGTCTTTAACACTTCTCTAGTATCCATTCCCAACTATCTAAGTGCTGAATATAATGTATAGGTAGCAAATAAAACAGCTTGTCAATCTTGTTGTTCTGTCTTTGCACAGCAGTGAAATCTGTGAGAAGTATTTATTTATATCCTGTGAAACATTCTTGATACAATGTTTAAGATTATTTACATTGATAATACTCTTCTTATATAGGATCAGAGAAACAATGAAGTGGAGAACTTCACAATCAACATGACTTGCCAGTTTTGCTGGCAGCTTGAACCTACTGATTATGTGTGTACCAATTCTACAAGTTGCATGACAGTCTCTTGTCCAAGACAACGATATAATGCCACTTGTACAGTGCATGATCATATTCATTGTCTAGGTAAGTTGGTCTACGAATGAATGGTTTAGAGAGGATTCTTTTGTGAAGAACTCTTGAACATACTTTGTTTGTTCAGTTTAGTGGATAAATGTGCATATAACTTATTTCAATGTCTAGTTTTTTATTGAGATACTGTGCATTGTTTAGTTTCATTTTCTAGTCTGACACTTAATATTTTAAACTTATGATATGCTTAGAACCATGGTCTCAACAGTACAACAGAAGTCTTACATTAGGGTTATTGGAAGTGTTTTCTCTCCTGTGTTCACTTTCTTTAATGGAATTATTTGATGCAGCGTCAACAGAATTTGCATTGAGGTGTTATTTATGGCATACATTAAAAACATCCTGTCAATTAACATTTGAAATCACAAGAAATTTAATATAGGATCTAAATCAATAGACTTGGCTCTTGATTTTCCTTAATTAGGTTTCCACCAAAGCAACACCAATCTAGGAAAGTATAGGAAATGGAGATAGTGTTCAGGCATTCATACTGTGGTCTCATCAGAAAAGACAGGTTGAGTTACTGATGCTATTTAAATGCAGAACAGATATTTGTTGTGAAGAGTAATTTGGCGTATTTGCACCTCAGATTTCAGTTCCTGAGTCAATCTTTGGCCTTTGTTCATGGCATTAGGATTTGAATGTATTTCATTTCTCTTCTCAGGTAATCGTGTCTTTCCTAAGATGCTTTACTGCAACTGGACTGGAGGCTATAAATGGTCTACAGCCTTGGCACTAAGGTACATTCAAAGTATTGCAGAACTTCAAGTTCAAATTGTATATGAATGCCTTTCGTTAAATGGAAAAAGAATGAGGAGTACTTGTGGCACCTTAGAGACTAACAAATTTATTTGAGCATAAGTTTTCGTGGGCTAAAACCCACTTGATCGGATGCATGCAGTGGAAAATACAGTAGGCAGATATATATATGCACAGAGAACATGAAAAAATGGGTGTTGCCATACCAACTGTAACGAGAGTAATTAATTAAGGTGAGCTATTAGCAGGAGAAAAAAAACTTTTGTAGTGATAATCAGGATGGCCCATTTCCAACAGTTGACAAGAAGGTGTGAGTAACAGTAGGGGGAAAAAATTTAGCATGGGGAAACAGCTTTTACTTTGTATAATGACCCATCCACTCCCAGTTTCTCGTTGGAATCAGTTTTTGAAGTTTTTTTGTTGGTGTATTCCAACTTTGAGATCTGTAACTGAGTGACCAAGGAGGTTGAAGTGTTCTCCGACTGGTTTTTGAATGTTATAATTCTTGATGTCTGATTTGTGTCTGTCTATTCTTTTGCATAGAGATAGTCTGGTTTGGCCAATGTACATGGCAGAAGGGCATTGCTGGCACATATCATATTGGTAGATGTGCAGGTGAACGAGCCTCTGATTGTGTGGCTGGTGTGATTAGATCCTATGATGGTATACGAGAAACTGCAGAATTGGAGTTAATTTGCAAACTAGACACCATTAAATTAGGCTTGAATAAATACTGGGAGTGGATGGGTCATTATACAAAGTAAAAACTGTTTCCCCATGCTAATTTTTTCCCCCCTACTGTTACTCACACCTTCTTGTCAACTGTTGGAAATGGGCCATCCTGATTATCACTACAAAAGTTTTTTTCCTCCTGCTGATAATAGCTCACCTTAATTAATTACTCTCGTTACAGTTGGTATGGCAACACCCATTTTTCATGTTCTCTCTCTATATATGTGTGTGTGTGTGTGTGTATGTATATAAAAAAAATCTTCCTACTGTATTTTCCACTGCATGCATCCGATGAAGTGGGCTGTAGACCACGAAAGCTTATGCTCAAATAAAGTTGTTAGTCTCTAAGATGCCACAAGTACTCCTCATTCTTTTTGCTGATACAGACTAACATGGCTACCACTCTGAAACCTGTTAACTTAAATGGGTTTCTCTTTTCAATGGTATATTTCCTAACCTTAAACTAAACTGAGTTCAAAATATTTAATATTTTCTGAGACTTTTAACCAAAAGTAAGCTTATGATTTAATATAAAATGGCTAGTGTTGGCTTTTTTCCATACTACTGGGCTCAAATTTAGGTATGTGTGTGTTGGGTGGAGGGAGGTGGTATTCTTTGAAGCCTTAGCCATGGAATGAGCTTAAGGGAATAACCAAGATGAGAGACACTTTGTACGGATATTCAAAATTACAAACAATCTGTTCTGACCATTCATGCCATACTGAGTTTGGCCATCTCTTTAGGCTTGATGCCCTGACTGGACTTTATTAGATTCTTTGACTGGAGGAAAGAAAACAATGGTGGTATTTCCCAAACAGCATCCGCTCATGGTGCCAAAATGAACCTTTGCTCATTGTAGATCATGGGCAGTCAATTTTTTTTGTCAAAGTCCAAATTTCTTGGTCAAGCTATAGTCAAGGTCCAGACTCCAGAGAAACATTTTTCATGTCATAATAACAATAATGATGATCATAAGTAAATAAGATTTTTGCGGTCTATTCAAAAGCATCTGGCGATCTGGATTTGGCCCATGGTTCACTTAGCCTCTACAAGCCAAAATCTATGAATACCGCACTTCCTTTTCTCACACAGTTTAATGAGCAATGAAACAGCTAACAATGTTGAGATGTAAATTATCATTGGGCAACTGAGATGTATGGGGCAGTTAACTCTTTTAGAGTTGTTCCAGACTTGGGTAGATGTTATTACACTAGCTATAGCTGGCTCATGACAGGTATCAACTCTTTTAAAAAGAGAACTGAGATCTTGGAACACAAAATGACCACTTGGGAGAGGTGCCACTATGCTATACTGTTAAACCAGGCTGCAACTTTTGATTCTTCACACACTAAGCACCAAAGCATTGTACTCACTGTGGTGGTTTGGATGTTACCACAGGACTTCAATATATTTGTACAAATTGACTGTGAAACAAGAACTATTTCCGTTTTGTTTGTTTGTTTTTTGTTAAGTTTCATTCAAAATTCCCATAAAAGGTGAATTATATAAGGGCTGCTATGAGAGCCTGTACTACCTGATTTATCATAAGTTATGTGAACAAAAAAAGTAATAGACGTTTTGTTAGACATGCTTTCTTTTGGAGCTAGAACCATTCCCTTCTCTGCCTGCAGCTGGAGAAACTAAGCTTTACCCGAACACCGCAGGAGCAGAGTCTCCTCCTTTCTCTAGCGTTTTCCAGCCCCTGCCAGTTCAGGAAACTTGGAGCCCAAAGTCAGAGCAGCTCACTGGCCAACTTTCTTATGAAAAGCAGCTTAAAATAACATAAATTATTTCATATCTTGTATCTGCAGAGTTTCACAAAAGACTTGGAGAAATATTTTAAATTAAAAACTAGTGCTTTTAATACATTTCTATCAAAATATTTTTACCACTATTGCTTGTAAAGTCCTCCAGCCACTTTGCATAAGATATTCCTAGTTTCCTGACTGTATATGATAAGATATAAAATTATTATCAGTGTGCTGTAAATATTTAAAGGTGAGTTGACATCCAAATTCAGGATTCTCCACAACTGTTTTAATGAATTATGTTGTATTCCTAGCATCACCCTTGGTGGATTTGGAGCAGATCGCTTCTACTTGGGCCAGTGGAGGGAAGGTCTGGGCAAACTCTTCAGCTTTGGTGGATTGGGAATATGGACACTAATAGATGTGCTACTAATAGGAGTTGGATACGTGGGGCCTGCAGATGGATCTCTCTACATTTAAGTACACACAAAACATGCTTCAGCAAAGGATCAAATTTGGGAAAGGGCCTAAAACAAGAATGTAGAAATTGGTCCTTAAAGGTAGAACTAGGAACACGTTCCCTGTGTGCACATATTTTAATGTACAGTATCTGTACTTAGCCTGCCTTGAACTAAGGTAAAATAAATGAGTGGATCACTGAACAGTGTTTATTTGTAATTTAATTTCCTTTGGCTTGCAAGTACTGTATTTTTTCTATGAAAAAAAGGTTTAAGTTGCACAGCTAAACAAGTTGACTACTGTTCCTGAAGAAAATATAAACTAATTAAAATATTAAATTAAGAATTGCTTACCTCATATTTGTATGTTATCTGAATTTAGCTATCTAACTAGCATCCCTAAATATGCTAGCAAGAATTTTTTTCATGTTTATGGCAAGATAAAGTGCTTGTGTAAACCTAAACCTACTTGGGCAATATGTAGATTGCCAAATATTGTAATCTTAATTACATGTAGTTTCTCTTCTGCTTTTCACTTTGGGATATCACAAACTTAATTTTTCTGCTGTAATTGTAAATTTGTGGCTTTTTAGAATTAGTATGCAATAACACTAAAAATGTAATATCTTAAATCACTTGACAAGTACACTGCAGGACTCTTTCCAGGGTTATAGTGTTTCTGCTTGGCCTTGACCTCAGAGAGCATTTGTATATGGCAAAATTTTTGTGCTCTCAAAATTACAGGGTTTTAAAATAAATCCAAAGAGGAGGTCTGGTAATTAACTTATCAGCTGAAGATTTGGTAACAGTATTTTCTGATTGAAATGTTGTCTGATGTTTACTTGTACTAACCTTCAGTGACATTATGGAAACATTCTAGAAGTATGTAACATTTGTTTTCTGATTATTTTTTTTATTTAAATGAGGCAATTCATATTTTCAACTTTTTTTTTTTTTCTTAAGTCCTACCTCTCACCTACATGTCCTCTTTCCAAGGTCCTCTATAGCAATCCAGTCTTAAATTGTGGGGCAAGACTCCTTGGCTTCTGCAGCACTAAACTGCACTACACTGAAAACTGTCAGTTGGATAAACTTACATTGAATTAAATATGATGAAAATTAATGGAGGTAGTGTTGTGTCTTATATTCAGTTTATTTCTTGCTGCCCTTCTTTCAACCTATACATGTGTCTGGAAGGGGGAGAGGAGGAAAATAGTAATGCTCTTGGCAGCTCTACCTGTAAAATAAACTTCACCTATGTAAGCTGCTCTTTTACAGCTGATTGTGCAGATACTATGAGCTCCACTACCATTGGCTTCCCCTTGCTAGCACTCGAATATGCTCCTAGGCTCCATTGGGCTTCTTCAGCATGGTTCCTCTTAACTAAGGGGAAAGAAGTGGTGATACCTTTCAAATGTCACCATCTTTTTTAGCACTAGTCTGTGAGATGTCACTCACAGTAAACAGCAGATCTGTGTTCCTCTCAGTTCTTACAGGAGCAATGAAATTAGTTTAAATGGCAACTTTAATGCAGGTATCCATTGACAGTTAATAGTTTCCTGAGATGAATGGGCAGGTCAAACCTGTCAGAGCCATTGTTCCAGAGTTTCCATGGAATTACTGATATTGCTGAGTTGGGTACACATGGTTTTACATTTTTGAGGCATTATGTGACTAAACCATCACTAATGTTTATGGAAGCTGAAATTGTGGCAAAACAAGATACCAGTTTCAAAGAAGTGCTGTTATATCCCAATACTTCAAACCAGCTCAAAGGGGGGGAGGGATAGCTCAGTGGTTTGAGCATGGGCCTGCTCAAACCTAGGGTTGAGAGTTCAATCCTTGAGGGGGCCACTTAGGGATCTGGGGCAAAATCAATACTTGGTCCTGCTAGTGAAGGCAGGGGCCTGGACTCAATGACCTTTCAAGGTCCTGTCCAGTTTGAGGAGATGGGATATCTCCATTTAAAAAAAAAAAAGACCTATAAGCAAAGCATTATGAAGCATTACCTCTTAGTTCAGTGCTTTGGTGTTGAGGTTTTCTGTCCCTATCCAGTTCTCCCCTTGGGTGTTGATTGGTTAAATGTGGTTGCTTTTTGTTTCATGTCCTAATACTTATCAAGCACAGACATTTATCCTCAAGAAAATCACCCCACAATATATTTGCTTCTCCTTCCCTTGCTGTGCTAGCTCTAGTCAGTCTTAGTCCTCATGGAGCAGTAGGGTGTTGTGTAGCACAGAGCTGTCAGGGATGTAAACAATCATGCCTACCAGCCTGTACCTCCCTCAGGGGAGGAGCTCAGTTAATTTCAGTGCCTGGTATATTGGCTACAACGCAAATCGACATAGTGGCAAAGGCCTAGCCAACCCCAGCCCAGGTGCAGGAGACGCAGGGAGAAACCTGCTGCTGTCGCCCGTCTGGAGGAGGGGGCTGGACACTTGTGGAAAGCAAGTGAGGGCTGGTATGCGCGCGCTGCCCCAGGGGCCCGACGCGGGCGGGGGAAGAGCGGTGGCGTCTGCAGCAGTGACGCTGCCATGTGACGTCCTTCCCACTGCCCGGCAGACACACTATGGCGTCCGGCGCGGACCAAGAGCGGCAGCTGCGCTTTTACAGGGAGCTTCCTAAAGTGGTGAGAGCTGCGTCAGGTCCCTAGCGCCGGGCGTTCCTCCCCTTTCTCCACGTTCCCAGTGGCTGGGCTGGTTATTCTCGGCAGCTGCTTGAGTCACTCCAGCGCTGGGGAATGCGCTGTGCTGTGTGCAGTGAAGCCCAGCAGCCCAGATGTCTGTTCTTCATTAGGCATCTTTTATGTCCCTCCCCACTTGCCCGGCAGGGAATAGGGTTTGACAGCATTCAGTGCTACGCCGGGCTGGGTCTGCAATTCACCTTTCTTCTGGGGGATGGGGAGGTGGGCAGTGAGAGTTCATCCGCAGAGTGGCTAGGGCAGTAGCCCTGCTCATGTAAACTCTACTCATTTGTAAAGCACCTACGTTTGAGGAGACGCAGGCACCCCAGAAAATCAGCCAGCACCTTTTGGCTCTTGTGCTGGGAGCTCTGTAGAGAGATTGCAATCGAGAAGACATACAGATTAAGGGCTGCAGCCTTTTTTGGCGTCCATAATTTTTTTCCTCTGAACCCAGGCTGTCACATTGCACTGAACACTTTTCTTTAAAGATGGGGCTAGTGGTACTGTCTTTAAGGGGGGGAGGGGAAAAGACTCACTCACATTGACAATTCAATTCTTCTACAATGTCAATGTTTTCCATCTTTATTCAGACTATATATAATCTGCTTCACTCTGTAAACTCTTGTGCCTGTAGGAGTAAGTCTGCCCTCCTTGCCTGTGGTTGCAACAGAATTGGGGTGGGACAAGAGGAGCTCAGCCCCCACAATGGTGCTATATCCTCTGTGCACCAGCATCCTCTGGGGGGTCTCTGTCGACCATGCTCACTGCGTGTTTTACACAAGTGAAATATTGCAGCTCTGATGTGGAGCCGTTTCTGCTGCCACTTTCACAGGGTGAGCAGTTCCCATCCTTTTCCCTGTAGGACCCTCTGCATCAGTGGTTCTCAGCCAGGGGTGTGTGTACCCCTGTGGGTGTGCAGAGGTCTTCCAGAGGGTGGTACATTTACTCATCTAGATATTTGCCTAGTTTTACAACAGCCTACATAAAAAGCACTAGCAAAGTCAGTACAAACTAAAATGTCATACAGAAAATATCTTGTTTATATTGCTCTATATACTATGCACTGAAATGTAAGTACAATATTTATTTTCCAATTGATTTATAATTGTATGGTAAAATGAGAAAGTAAGCATTTTTAGTAATAGTGTGCTGTGACACTTTTTACAGGAACCACCTGTAATTGCAGCCTGCAGATCGAATGAATTGTACAGCTACTAAAAGCATAATTGTAATTTGAGGATGAGGACAAAATTGATCAGCTGTAGGTCTTTATTGGCAGTGTATTTGAACAAAAGGAATTTCTGCCCATCTCTCAAGGAAAAGGTTCAAGCAAATAGTTCCTGGGTTCCTAACAAGCTGTAATACAACCCCTTGTGTCATGTTTATTTTTCCAAAAGTACTCAATTGATTTCAAACACCAATAAAATGTTTAAAATTTTTGTATAGCCTGACTCCGTACAATTCTTTTTCAAGGTCTGTAGATTTATTTTGCAAGCAAATCAATTCAACATATTTCTTTTTTTTTGCTTTTATTTTTTTTCCTGAGGCCACCTCTATAAGTCTGCTTCTGATAACAGTTTTTGCTGCATTCTAAAGGGTGTGGTCTGGCACGTTCCTGCTATCATTGTTTGCTATACGTTCCTGGAACTCTTATCAGCTCAACAATTCTGGAGTTGTGTACAACAAATTTCACGTCTACCATTTGAGTGTTTATTCATTAAAATTGGCACAGGTACATGATCAAAACAGATATTATTAACACTGTCTTTCTCTACATTTTGATGCTTCCGTTGCAAAAAGATGTTTCAAAGGCATCCTTGCAAAATGCTTGTCTTTTTGTGGGTGGCAGACTCTCATAATGAATTCTGCAAGGCATTTCATTGCATAGTATGTGGAACAACCATGCTTTTTATTAGAATTAGAGTTTCTGGACTTGATTTCCAGAAGTGGTAAGTACCAGAGTGCCCATTAATTGGACATGTGGCTGCTCAGCACTTCTAACAATCACCCCTTCTGTGTTTTATTGTACATTTAATATTATGATATTGTTTTAAAGTGTTTTATAGCAGTAGTAAAAATGTCATCGTATTTATCAATCAAGCATTTTGTGAAAACATTTTGCCAATTTTTGCTCTAATAAAAGCAGGTGCCAAAAGGGGAGGGGCAGCAGAGTGAAGATGTGTGGGACAAGCTAGGTATTTTGCAGACACATTTTGAAGTAAGATGGAGCGACACAAGAAGACTATTCCAAATGTCGGGCAGCAAGATTGTGAGAAGGGACAGAGATGAGGGCGATGCTTAATGAAGTGGGGAGCTGAGGACGGGGCTTTGGAGCTTTGCGTCGGCTCCGCTCCAGCTCCAGGCAAAATCCTGCAACTCCACTGCTCCGGAGCTGCTCTGGAGCTGCTCCGCGCTCCAGCTCTGGGCTCCGCTCCAAAGCCCTGGCTGAGTAAAGGATGACTGGGTTCAAGAGAGGCTGGAACAAGTCGTGAGTTCTAAATGCAAGGAGTACAGTTCAATTGCTAGTTTTGTTTTCTGTTTGTAGAGGGAAGTGAGAGCTCACTATGCTTTTATGTGCTGTTAAGAGTATGAGAAAAGAAAGAATATGTCTGGGTAGAAAAAATGCTGCTTTTTTGGTCTAATTAAAAAGAAACTATGAACCAATTTAGGCCCAGATTAGACCTGTTATAAAATTGAGTAAGGAATAGTGCTCATGTTCTAAATTATTTTTAAAACCTTAAAAAGTCAGATTTGTTTTCCCTCCACCCCCCAAGGTGTTCCACTACAGTAATTAACTGAGACTTTAACACTCTTCACAGTGGCACCTACATTCTTGCTGATACCACTGCTAATGCTCGCAATGAGAAGTAAATAAGACTATCTCATTTGAGGCACCAGGATATAGAAACCCAAGTAAAAAAAGTCATTATTTGCCAAATGCAGAGACAGGATTGGTAGGGAAATGTTTTATTTTCAACCTCCTAATAAAATAGCAATACAATATAAAAGAAAAAAAAACCCTGAAATCTAATTGAAATTAAATATACCCTCCACTCCTCTTGATTTGTTTATAACTTAGGAGCTCCATGCCCACTTGAATGGCTCCATCAGTTCTGTTACTATGAAGAAACTTCTGGCTCAGAAACAATATCTTCAAATCCATAATGGAATGACAGTGATTGACAAGGGGAAGAAAAGGACTTTAGAAGAGTGAGTATCTATAAGTTACAACCTTAATTCCTGCCCCCCCCCCAGTCCTTTATGAATACATTGAAACAAGTAAAATCTGTAAGCTTGCACTGTGTGAGTGTGGAAAACATAGTTAAAATTGAAGGTTGCATTATGTAATTTAATCAAATTTTCACATAAAATCATTAAGAAAATTATTACTTTTTAAAAATGTCCTTAGGGGAAGATAGTTTTTCATTTCTTAAATCTGTGAAGTCACTTCTTACTTGTGTGCAAATGGAACATGTATCCCTTGTTATCTTCCTTATTAATTTGTTTTCCTTTTAATCAGATGATTGAAAATATTTACATAGAGCATGGGCTCTTTAGAGAAAATCCAGTCATGCAAGATTCCTAGTTGGACATGAACATAGCCAGTAACTTAACACACCAGAAAACAAAGATTCTTAGTAATGCTTTACACTATACATGCTCTACATTTAATCACTACTGAATTAATAGTTTTTAAAGCCTGAAAGGACAATGATGATAATTCAGTCTGTGCTGCAGCAAAGCCAGTAAATACATGTTATTCAGGCATGGGTTTGCAATTGGGAGTGCTCATCGCACTAGCACAATTTTATATGCTTAGCCTTTTAACTTTTTTGTTATAGATGTTTTCAGATGTTTAATATCATTCATCGGATTACCAATAGGACTGAAGATATATTAATGGTAAGTTGTACAGGGCTTTGTTTTAAAAAATCAGAGCATTTTTCTTTCAAAAACAACTCCTTGCAAAGGTAGCAAGAAAAGTTATTGCACTTGTATCTGTGCCCAATGTGTAAAAGCCAAATTGAGCTGAGTGTAAATTATTGAGCTCAGAGATTCAGTAATACGTTAGTCAATGGCATGTAAAAAATATTTCTGTAAAAAGTGAGAATTTAGAAATGCCAGATTCTACCTAACTGACATTTTCGTTTTTTCCCTTTTAGAGCAGTGAGCTACCAATATTGGAAGTTAGTCTGTGCTCTCAGATGACTGAACTGATGATCACTTATGAATGTGATATCCATTCATATTTACCTATGCTTTAACAGAGTTTCCTAATACACCTCTACCTCAATATAACGCTGTCCTTGGGAGCCAAAAAATCTTACTGCATTATAGGTGAAACCACGTTATATCGAACTTGCTTTGATCTGCCGGCGCGCGCCCCCCCGGATCACTGCTTTACCGTGTTATATCCAAATTCGTGTTGTATCGGGTCATGTTATATTGGGGTAGAGGTGTACTTCTTTGTCTCAATGTATATGCAGAGTTCCTTACTAGAGCTGTACTATGTTCACTTCTGGGTCCAGCACAGAGAGGGAGATCTGCTGGTGGGAAAGCGTATCTCGGGGTGCGGAGTGGTGCAAAGGGTTGTGAACCTTCCCTCTCCAGAAGGGGTTTCAGGCAGCCAGTACAACCCTCCAAGTGGTCAGGATTGCCAAGGAAGAGGTCATTGCCATCGGTAGGGCAGCGGAGGGATGTACTGTTTCAGCACATTACCACTGAAATCCCCATTGGCCAGAGCAGCTTTGATACCCTGATAAAACTGGGCAGAGATGTAAACACCATGGGATTTAGACAATAACTCCTATTAATGTTATGTAACTATATTTCCATGTTTTACACTGAAAGCTTACATGTCTTTATCTTTAAGAGTCATCCAGTGTAACAAATTATAAATCTTTAATTTCAAAATATTGTATATGCTGTTTTTAACCAGGTAACTAAAGATGTTATTAAAGAATTTGCTGCCGATGGTGTCAAGTATCTGGAGTTAAGGAGCACACCTAGAGAGGAAAATGGCACTGGTACAAAGTGTTCTGTCTTTTAATTAGTATTCCGGATTATATTATAGAACCTCTCACATTATAAAATTAATATTAACAATATGTTTTGGAAAGTACCAAATGAATTATGACTGACATGTAAATAACTGCCGGAGTCACTTTTGAAATTCAGTTGTTTCAGTAAATGTGACAGATTTAGAAACAAATCAGTGAATGTCCCACTGTCAAATCTTTCATATAGTGACACATTCCTCTTGTAATTTCATTGAAGCCAGTGGAATTGCTCCAGGAATGATTTTTTCCTAACCCATATTTTTATATAAAAATATAAATAAAAAAATACACACACATATGTATGTTCGGTGTTATAAATATAATTATTTGCAGTGAACTGAATAATGAAAGTGATAATGTGGATAAAATTTTCCTTTTAGTAAGATTTGGGGGTTCGGGGAGGGAATTACACATTGAGCTAAATTCTTTCCTGTCATAGCTTCACTATTCAGCGATAAATTTAGGCTATTCAGTTTAGTCTTATTTCTTATGCTGACAAGATAGCTCGAATAGAATAATAAAACCACCTCTGCGAACAGCAGAAGCTATGTTAGCAGGAGAAGCTCTCCCACTGACATAGCGCTGTGCACACAAGTGCTTATGTCAGGGTAACTTACGTCCTTAGGGGGATATTTTATTTGTATCCCGGAGCGACATAAATTATGGCAACATAGGCTGTCGTGGAGACATAGCCTTATTATAGTTTTGTTTCTTGTAATAGCTGCTACATTTTCTTTTTTATTTCTCTTAATCTTTTTATTGTTTTTAAACAAATATTTCAGTGGTGCATCAGGAAACCCTTTAGATTCTTGTGTAAAGTTATTTTTCTTTTCTCCACAAACTCAGAGCAAACAAAATCCAAAGGGAGGCTTCAAAGTAAAATTACATTTGTTGGTAAAACCAGTCCTATACAAAATGTAAAATCACAGAATAAAATCAAGATGCAAAATTAAACTACCATCCCAAAGTGCAAATAAAATATAAGATTAAAGAGTAAAATGGGCGGAAAAGTTAAAATGAAAAATATTTTCATGGTCAGTCGGGGATTTTATCAAACGTAACTTTTTATAATCAGTCCACTTATATCTACTCAGATCAGGTATGCATATGCTTGTGTGTGTGTGTTTTATAGGCATGACCAAAAGGACATACGTGGAAGCTGTACTTGAAGGAATAAAACAGTGTAAAGAGGAGGATTTGGATATAGATGTCAGGTAAAATAACATGTGAAAAACTTCTGATTTGGGATTTTGTTATGAACCTGGTGTTTGGCCAAGGTTTACAGATCATGAATGCTGGGGAGAAATTTGTGTAGAAACCAGATTATTTTTGACTTAAAACCTAGCAATTTAGATATTGAAACGTGTATTTTATTATCCCTTTTACTGAATAGGGAGCAAAACTGCCTGAGATTTCTAAAGTCTCCATTCTCTGCAATGTTCTATAGCAAAAGTAGTGCCCTCAGGAAATACCAGACTAAGGAACTGTCACAAAAGTTGTGTTACTTTAACCATACAGGTATAGTTAAAGCAGTACTGCCCTCCCTGCTCCCATCCAGTACTGATGTAGTTATACCAGTATAGCTTATTCTGATATAGGGAGGGGAATAGGGAACCATTCTACTTGCATAACTGTATCCAGATGAAGGGTTGTACTGCTTTAACTAGTTTGGTTAAAAAAATCAACCCGCTACCAAATTAGTTATACTGGTACAATGATTGTGTGTAGATCAGGCCTTAGAAAGACACTACAGTTTCTATTAGTAATTTAACAGATAATATAAACTTGAATTTTAAACCAGCTATCAAAAGTGAACCTAATAATCACCAATATAGATATAATATGTGTCTTCCCCTCTGTTACGGAATTGTAGTGATTTTCTTCGAAATAATACAGTAATTACAATGAGAGTACTGCAGCCATTGACTGTTTGTTTGGCTAATTACTGAACACTGAACTGTTGTTTTACTAACATGCTTACTTTGATCCTCTAGGAAAGCTGCTTTTACCGTGAAATGGCCTGTCAGACTTTTATCGTGCACAAACCTTGGGCAGTTTTGTTCCTCTTTAAAACAAACAAACAACACCCACAACAAAAAAATCAACAAACCACAAAACTACTAACCATAAACAAATAAAAACTACAAATATATTGGACAATTTTTTAAAAGTTTAAATTATTTTAAAATGACCAACCCACCCAGTGAAGTTGATGTAGGGGAAAAAAAGCACACACTGCACAGACAGCACCTGTGTAGCTGTATGTAGGAGCACTGGTTACCATGTACAATTTTCTTCTGAGTTTCACTTGTTTTTGAGAATTGAAAAATCAAAGAGAAAGTCAAAAGATGTGAACCAATAACAAAATGAGTTTATTAAAACCTCTCATAATTGTTTGTAAGTCAGAAACTTGATAACTAAATGGTGTGAAACCCAAATAAGATAAACAGCCACTAGTTAGGGATCCAGCTTTCCTCTGTGGGAGCTATAAAATTATTTTTTGCAAGAAACTAATAATACAGGTTAAAAATTTGCTCTGAAAAGTTGTCCTTAGTTCTTGACCTCTTTCTTGGGCCTTCTGTAAACTATATAAGATATAGGGCTACCTTTTCAAAGAGGGTTGCAATGGAGCACCTGCAGAAATCCACATTGTGCAGCCTGAATGGTAATTGCATCCCCCACAGGGTCACTTATGTGTGAAACACAGTTAACTTCTTGCACTCCAAAATTTAAATATGTTTTTCTGTTTGCTAAATGTTGCCTTTGAAAATTTGGACCATATAGTTTTTTTGTGGCAAAATATATTACACCTTTTACTAGTAGAGGTGTAATAATAACAAACTAGGTATAAATGTGAATTAAGATACATGGATCATTTGTATACATTACATCATAAGAATATATTGCTATGTCACAGTTGTCAGCTATTGTACAGCCAGTTAGGAGGTTCCTTAGTATCTTATGGATTGGCCTTAATATCTTCTGCCTGTGCCTGAGATGTAGGGTGTTGCAGAGGTCAAATTCTAAGCTGTTTGTGGAAGGGAGGGGCTGAATTCTCTGAGCTGGCAGGTCTTGCTGGCTAATCCAGAAAACAGCATTGGTAGTAGCTTCAGAGAAAGAGTTGATATATGAAAGTCAGAACTTTGGTGGGCAGGGGCTAGTAGCCAGATCGGGACATGATACCAGTATAGGCAGTGGCTGAAAGGATGGTGCCTGTCCAGAGGACAGGAGAACTCTCTGCTGTGTCTTATGTGAGATGATGTATGTTTTTTAAGAAGTATTTAGAGGTCCTTCTCTGGAGATGTAGCTTACCAGATCTTTCCTTTCCCAAAACCTGGAAAAAGTTGTTTTGGTTTTATGAAAAAGGAAGAACCAAACCATACTAATAAAATTATTAAAAGAAATTGAAAGAAAATCAGTTTATCCCAAGTGAGGGTTGAGTTCCAGCTCCTTATGTTCAGCTATATAAGCCCAATCCTTTGTTTCAGTATTACATTTTTGCCTCTAGAGTGGAGCCAGTATGGCTGGAAGGGAGATGCCATGAATGTAATGCTGGAATTAGAGTGGGTATGCATGTGCCTGCCACGGCTCCGCTCTCCCCGGCGGCCAGAGCGCCGGGAGGAGAGCCCGGCTGGGGCTCCGCTCTCCCCGGTGGCCAGGGCGCCGGGGGGAGGGCGGCGAGCCCACCACGGCTCTGCTCATCCCGGCGGCCAGAGCGCCGGGGGGAGGGCGGTGAGCTCGCCGCGGCTCCGCTCATCCCGGCAGCCAGAGCGCTGGGGGAGGGCGGCGAGCCTGCTGCGGCTCTGCTCTCCCCGGCGGCTGGAGCGCCGCGGGGAGGGCGGCGAGCCCAGTCGCGGCCCTGCTCTCCGGCCGGAGCGCCGCGCCGCCCCCTTCCAGGTGCCGCCCCACGCACATGCTTGGTGGGCTGGTGCCCGGAGCCGGCCCTGCCTGTTACTTGCCATCAGAGCTTTACAGTAACAGTTGTGACAAAAGAAGCAATTTCTATTTAAGTTATGAGTGCAGTGTTGCTTTTGCTGGTAATAGATTGTTTCTTTGTCAATCACCTGTTTGGTGATTTAATGTAAGATGTACATCTCTATTCTAGGTTTTTAATAGCAATAGATAGAAGAGGTGGACCTATCGTGGCAAAGCAAACTGTTAAACTGGCTGAAGAGTTCCTCCTTTCCACCGATGGGATTGTGGTAGGGCTTGACCTCAGTGGTGATCCCATCGTAAGTTACTTTCCTTGAAGATGGATACTTTTATCGTTGTAATGATTATAGTATCAAATTTTATTTTTACTCTTAGTGCTTTGGATAATTTTCCTTTGGGGGCATTAACTGTTCATGGCAAGGGTTAGGAACGACTATTTTCCCACATCTAAAACATTATATAAATGGGTATAGATGCGTTTTGGAGTGCTTTTGCCTTCATCTGAAGTACCAGATATTGGCCAACACTGAAGGCAGAATATGTTGTTGCTATTATTATTATTATTATTATATAATTTCTTTTAAATAGTGCCAACAATGTTGTATAAGGTTTTTTTCAAACATAAAAGAAGGCACATGATCTAAAGACAGAAGAACAGGTAGTAGTAGTCAAAGTAGTACTTGGAATGATGGCTCTTGCCTGGCAAATCCTATCTTCCTATTTTTAGTCATTTTACTTGACTTTGGAATGTATGAAGGAGTTGAGGGGATTGTACAGAAAGTTGTTTTGGTTCTTAACAACTGCCCTTTAGGTAAAGGACACCATCAACTAAAATAAACACGCTGATGTGTTGTTACTAGTAACATTTGCTGAACTGAAAAGAATTAGGGAAATACATTTCTCTTTATTATCTCACTGTTTACTTGTACATTTATTAGCACTTAGTTTGTAGTCATTTTCACTGTTTCCATTATATAGTTAGACAGTAAACTTGCTGGCTGTTGGTTAAATGTCTTGCTCATATTCATGATGTGAAGATAACATCTTTTGTCTCTAACAAAAAATTGAAAATGTACAAAATGATACACAACTATCAAAAAAGGGAACTTAAAAGCAACTTCTGAGCCCAGGAAAGCATCCACTACTACATTGCTCTGATTGTATCAGATTGATTGAGGTTGAGGCATATTGAGTAATACTGAGAATAGACACAAAATGAGAACTAAAGCTGGTTTACAAGGCCCCACAGTTTGGTCTATGGGGGTGTGAATTGCAGTAGGTGTCTTTTAGTTTGCACTGTCAGCACTGGTGGGTTACAGTGCAACATGCCAGTGTGCATTGCAGTTCACATCCCATAGTCTGAACTGCAGGGTCATGTAGACATAAAATACAAGCACCTAATATGCTACTGTTATAAAGAAAAGAAAAGAGGTTGAAAAATATAGTTCTTAAATTGAAGTGAAAAATATTGTTTCACTATATTTGATTATATGTGATAGCAAAATAAAAATTATTAAAATTAACTGCTTTTGAATGAATTATATTAATATTCTGAAACTTCATCATGATTGTATAATTGGAAAGGTTTTAATAAAAAATACCTCCTGATTAATCATGCATTTTTGTTTGGATTTTTCTTCAAGGCAGGACATGGCAAAGATTTTTTTGAACCACTTTTCGAAGCGAAAAAGGCAGGTCTGAAACTGGCATTGCATCTTTCAGAGGTAAATTCTTAATGTTTGTGCTAACCTTTTTCTGCAGCCGCCTTTAAATAAAAACCTACTGTAACTAAAAGTAACATCTGTGGATTTTCAGTTTTTTTAGGCTGAAGTAATGCTAGTTTGTGGCATTTTGAAGAGATGGGGTTAGAAAAGAGAAATTTAAAGTAAACACACATATATATGTATTTTGAAGGGAAAAAACCCTAAAAGAACCGAAAACCAACCACCTACCCAACTTAATCAAGAAACTTTGACTAAATCTCTCCTACCTTTCTAGGGATGTTACAGTCCACCAGAGAACCATGCAGGTCCCACCCCTGTGATTTCTGATGTCACAAGAAATGTTTCAATGGTGCTATTGTCAGTTTTGAATTTTGTATTAATTTTGGATAGATCAATACAGTAAATGATATAATACAATAAATGTTGAGAACCACAGAAGGAATACCAGTAACATAACATACTCTGCCTTAAAATCTGCAAGGTCATGATTTATTAAATTATGGAAACAAATAGGACCTCAGTATCATAGGGAAAACCCTGATTCAAGAGCATGACTAAGCCTTGCTCATTAAGGATTATTAGAGGAACTGTTGGCTGTAATTTATTGTATTATATATTTCAGAAGTATAAGTATTAATTTGAAGTTTACACATACATTGACTGATCCATTACCCCCCCACCTGAATTATATCTGGAATATCATATAGTAGATCTTATGTACCTGTTTTACGCACATGAATAGTTCTGTTGACTTCTTTAGCTCTGTTTGTGTATGTGAGATGAGGAGAATTTGGAGTATGATCTCTAACATTGAAGATCCACCTAGAGTTTGATTTAGCAGGCCTGATGAATAATGAAAACCTTATAATTTCTGAAAGGAATAGTGCCTTTAGGAAATGAAGGCTGATAATATTAATGAGTTTTTTTCATGGAACTCTTGTGCAGTGCTTTGAAAATGTACTTCCAAGTTCCTCACCTTCTTCTTTCTGCCTCTGTCTTATTGTGTAACTTCTCTGTTCTGCAGTCAGTTTATCCATTTGTACATTGGAGATAATTGTAATCTTCCTAGTTGAGGCTTATTTCATTAAGGTTTGTAAAGCTAATTGAGGTCCTCCAATCAAAAATATTTCAGAAGTGCAAATAACTAATGTGATCTGTCCTTTTATCCGCTTTCCAATGAGTGCACTTCCATCTTCCAGTTCCTGCATCTCTTCCTTCTCCAAAGCATAATAACTAACACTAATTAACACACATACTTATTTCTCATTTTCTTTATTGATAAAATATACAAATACAAAAAATCTAGAACCCAGATCTGATCTGGGGCTGATGTATAACTTTGATTATTCAGCTGCATTTTGGTGCCATTACAGACTCTGTGCGTGGGGGTGTATTCTGTTTTAGATCCCAAATAAAGAAGAGGAGACCAAAATTCTCCTTGGTTTGCCTCCAGACAGAATTGGACATGGTACATTTCTCAACTCTACAACGGGTTCAGAGGATCTTGTGCAGCTTGTTAGACAGAATCACATACCTATAGGTAAGCAAGAAGATAAGAAAATTGCTTGGTAGCCCTCAGGCTTTGATACATTGTATCTTGCAAATGATTCAGTAAGTCTGAGTAGATTTATATCTCCCAGAAATAAATATGGAAAGATATTTGTGATGTGGAAATAAATGGATACTGTGAGAAAATAACTGATACATATGGTGTTCTACTGATGCTTCTGTTTTTCATTTAAAACAAAATTGGTCATAGAGTATTTTTAAACGTTTTTACTGAGTGCCATTAATTAAATATCTACATATTTTATATGCATATATTTCAATTTACACACACATTCTTTTATACACCATTCTCAATATTCGTGCTTCTTAGCAGTTTAATGCCAGTCCTTGGTGTATAATCAACAAATAGTGGGAAAAGGAAAACAGGAAACAGAGATCTGGAACATTAAAATAGTACAAAATTGCCATGTGTTTACACCTGTTGCCACCTAGTTAATATCAATAAACTACAGCTTAGTAATTTGTGTAGTGAAATATCTTTTAAAGCTATGTAAAAGGATTTAGTGGCATTTGTGTAGACTGTTCAAAGTTTTATATCTGCTTCAAATACATAGGGACATAAGAATTGTGATACTGGAGCATTGATCTGTCCAATCTGATATCATGCCTCTGGCAGTGGCCAATAATGGATGCCTCAGATGAAGGTAGAAAACCAAAACATAACATACTTGACCAGTTGAGCAGTGCATGTGGTGTCTGTATGTATGCACCAGTTCTTCAAATACCCTGAATTGGGCACACAACTAGTGAACTGTGCACCTAACCACCCATTTGACTGTATAAATCCAGGTATTTTCATGTGTGCACACATGAACATTTTTTTTCCCGTGTTTGAATATGTTCTTAGCTGGCATATACAATATATTGTAAGCGTCGTGAATCACCACAAATTTAAAAAAAATAAATAGAACAGGTAACACTGAACTATTCAGCTATGGATTGAAATGTGTACATTAATCTATCCAAAGATCATATTTTTGGTTCTGTACATATCCTTGTTTTTTTCTTTTAATTCATAGTTTTTCCTTTTATCACTTAGAACTTTGCATGACGTCAAACTTCAAAAGTCAGACTGTACCTTCCTGTGACAAACACCATTTTGGATACTGGTACAACATGGGCCACCCCACTGTACTTTGTGTAAGCCATTTTGATTGTACAGAATACATTTAGATGCTGACCATACAGAACATGGAAACTGAGTCACTGGAGCCAAGTTAGAGAAACATACCTGTTACTATCTATACAAGAGCCAACTGGACAAGGAATTTCTCTGACCTCACTTATAAGAAATCCGATACCTAGTTTAGGGAGAAATATATAGTAAAAATCTAGGAAAATTCTTGTTATTCAGCTTCTAATTTTTATTGAAGCAAATCCCAGTAGATTAAAAGTCTGATTTACATGAAATTTGGGGTCTATATAGGTTTTTGGTATGAACCAGGGAACATTGCATTTGAACATCTTAGCTCCTATATTTGTATTTTAAATTGTAATTCATTGTAATTATTATTTCCTTGTAATATGAAATATGTTTCTGTTGCATTCAGAGGAAAATATGGGACCCCTCCTGTAGGTATTTAGTCCTGATCCTGTGAGATGCCAAGCACCTCAGCTCCCATTGCCAGCATCTATAAAAACATCCATGTTAGAAAACATCACAGTGGCCAAGTTAAGTAAGGTAAATTTAGGGACCTCTCTTCCTCGCATGGTTCATAAATCCACCCGAGAGCCCTGGATTAGGGAGCAGGGACCAACTTAGTCCTTAAATGATCCTAACTTGAACATTTCAACTGGCAACACTTATCTAATTGTTATTTATCATTTGTATTATGGTAGCAGCCAAGGACCATAATCAAAGTCAGGGCCCCATTGCACTAGGCACTGTTGTACAGGATGACACAGACCCTGTTCTGAAGATAAATACTCTAATATAAGACAAGGTGCAGCTAGTAAGTGGGGGGTGGGGAAGGGCAGGGGCGGAACAGGGAAGGGGAAAGGATAACAGTTGTATGGTCACACATTTACATAAGTTACACCTGTGAATAACTTGATGGTTCTGAATCATCAGACTTGTTTTGAAATAAGTGCCAGCAATCCCCACAGGCCTTCTGTCTAGCCATTACCACTTCTCTGTAGGCATCATGGTAGAAGTGTGTCTTGAGGAGGAGCGGTAGGACCAGCTTTATGGATTAGTTTGGAGAGGGTGCTCCATGTGTAGTAGGAGACATAGAATAAATCACAAAGACTCTGGCTGTTTTTATAGACATCATATATTTTTATAAATTAACTGTTCTTTCACTAAGGCCTTGTCTACACTACGAGAGTAGTTCGATTTTACTTGCATCGAATTTTTGTAATCGATATTGCAAAGTCGAACGTGTGTGTCCACACTAAGGACAGTAATTCGACTTTGTGCGTCCACACTAACGGTGATAGCGTCGACATTCGAAGCGGTGCACTGTGGTCAGCTATCCCACAGTTCCCGCACGTCCCCTCT